ATTTTTTTAGATATTATAATTTATATACAAATTTTTATAGTATAAAATGAGTAACCTCCCACGAGCACGTGTACGTGAATCAGTGCCTTTTTCTTATACCGGCATTGATTATTGGGGCCCATTTTATATAAAGGAGAAGAAATATCGCAATAGGAATCGCATCAAGGTTTATATATGCGTATTTATATGTATATCTATAAAGGCAGTACATTTTGAGATAATAAGCGACTTGTCATCTGATGGCTTTCTAGCAGCACTTCGACGTTTCGTCTCGAGGCGGGGGATACCAGAGCATATTTACTCGGACAATGGGACCAACCTTGTAGGCGCGAATAGTCAGCTAAAGGAGGTATACGTTTTACTTAATTCTGAAGACCACAAAAATCTAATAAATAACTATGCGAGCAAACATAGAATTGTTGGTAATTTTCTATATGTTGGCTCTTTGCCCTTTTTACTTTCAACTAATTTATTTATTATCGTAGAGCCTTATTACATTTTATAAACATAGAATCGTTTGGCATTTTATACCACCATTTGCTCCTCACTTCGGTGGGCTTTGGGAATCGACTGTTAAGCTCTTTAAACATCATTTTAGACGTGTGATCGGGACTCCTTATTCAAATTTGAGGAGCTAAATACATTTACTATAGAAGTAGAGGGGATTTTGAACTCCAGACCTATTTGAGTCAAATTTGAGTCAAATTTTAATCAATTTTGAGTCTAATTTTAGTCAATTTTTGAGTCAAAATTGAGTCAATTCTTGAGTCAAATTTGATTCAAATTTGAAACAATTTTTGAGTCTAATTTATGTCAATTTTTGAATCAAATTTAAGTTTTTTTAGTTAAGTTTTAAGCTATTTTTGAGTCAAATTTTACCCAAATTTTAGTCAAATTTTGCACAAACTATGAATTAAATTTTACGCAGATTTGTGTTACATTTTAAGCAATTTCTGAGTCCAATTTAAGTCTATTTTTATGCAACCTTTGAGTCAAATTTTACGCACTTTTTTGGTCAAATTTTAGGCAATTTTAGAGTAAATTTAAGTCAATTTATTGGTCAAACTTTACACAAATTTTGAGTGAAATTTTACGCAATCTCTGTCAAATTTAAGTCAATCTTCGATTCAAATTTTAAGCAATTTTTGAATCAAATAAAACGCAACTTTTCTGTCAAATATTACGCAATTTTGAGTCAAATTTTAATCAATCTTTGAATCAAATTTAAGTCAAATTTTTAATAAAATTTTTCGACAGACGGGGACCGTCTGACGGACCGACAGACGGGAACCGTTAGACGGACCGATAGACCGAGTCCGTCAGACGGACCGACAGACGGGGACCGTCAGACAGACATGGACCGTCAGATAAACGGGGACAGTCTGACGGACCGACAGACAGGGACCGTCAGACGGACCGACAGACGGGCACCGTCAGACAGACAGACAGACGGGTACCGTCTGACAGATGGCGACCGTATGACGGACGACAAACGGAGATCGTCAGACGAACCGACAGACTGGGAAAGTCAGGCAGACGGAGTCCGTCAGACGGACCGACAGACGGGCACCGTCAGATAGACTGAGAGACGGGGACCGTCTGACAGATGGCGACCGTATGACGGACGACAAACGGAGACCGTCAGACGGACCGACAGACGGGCACCGTCAGGCAGACGGCAATCGACTGACGGACCGACAGACGGGAACCGTTAGACGGACCTCCAGACGGAGTCCGTTAGACGGACCTCCAGACGGGGACCGTCATACGGACAGACCAACGGGGAACGTCAGACGGACCGACAGACGGAGTCCGTCAGACGGACCGACAGACGGAGTCCGTCAGACGGACCGACAGACGGAGTCCGTCAGACGGACCGACAGACGGAGTCCGTCAGACGGACCGACAGACGGAGTCCGTCAGACGGACCGACAGACGGAGTCCGTCAGACGGACCGACAGACGGAGTCCGTCAGACGGACCGACAGACGGAGTCCGTCAGACGGACCGACAGACGGAGTCCGTCAGACGGACCGACAGACGGAGTCCGTCAGACGGACCGACAGACGGAGTCCGTCAGACGGACCGACAGACGGAGTCCGTCAGACGGACCGACAGACGGAGTCCGTCAGACGGACCGACAGACGGAGTCCGTCAGACGGACCGACAGACGGAGTCCGTCAGACGGACCGACAGACGGAGTCCGTCAGACGGACCGACAGACGGAGTCCGTCAGACGGACCGACAGACGGAGTCCGTCAGACGGACCGACAGACGGAGTCCGTCAGACGGACCGACAGACGGAGTCCGTCAGACGGACCGACAGACGGAGTCCGTCAGACGGACCGACAGACGGAGTCCGTCAGACGGACCGACAGACGGAGTCCGTCAGACGGACCGACAGACGGAGTCCGTCAGACGGACCGACAGACGGAGTCCGTCAGACGGACCGACAGACGGAGTCCGTCAGACGGACCGACAGACGGAGTCCGTCAGACGGACCGACAGACGGAGTCCGTCAGACGGACCGACAGACGGAGTCCGTCAGACGGACCGACAGACGGAGTCCGTCAGACGGACCGACAGACGGAGTCCGTCAGACGGACCGACAGACGGAGTCCGTCAGACGGACCGACAGACGGAGTCCGTCAGACGGACCGACAGACGGAGTCCGTCAGACGGACCGACAGACGGAGTCCGTCAGACGGACCGACAGACGGAGTCCGTCAGACGGACCGACAGACGGAGTCCGTCAGACGGACCGACAGACGGAGTCCGTCAGACGGACCGACAGACGGAGTCCGTCAGACGGACCGACAGACGGAGTCCGTCAGACGGACCGACAGACGGAGTCCGTCAGACGGACCGACAGACGGAGTCCGTCAGACGGACCGACAGACGGAGTCCGTCAGACGGACCGACAGACGGGGACCGTCAGACGGACAGACAGACGGGCTCTGTTAGGCAGACGGCGACCGTCTAACGGACCGACAGACGGGGAACGGCAAACGGACCGCCAGACGGGGACCGTCTGACGGACCGACAGACGGCGACTGTCTGACGGACTGACAGACGGGGACCGTCAGACGGACCTACAGACGGGGACCGTCAGATAAACTGGGACCGTCTGACGGACGAACA